TACTATACATATATTTATATATATATATATATATTTATTTTATTCCCAAATATACTTATACATACATACTCTCTTACTTATCTATCTTTTTATTTACTCTTTCTCTCTCTCTCTTTCACTCTCTCACACTTTCATTCTTACACACATACTCTTTCTTTTTCTTTTTTTCTATTTTTATATATATATATATATATATATATATATATATATATATATATATATATATATATATATATATATATATATATATATATATATATATATATATATATATATATATATATATATATATATATATATATATATATATATATATATATATATATATATATATATATATATATATATATATATATATATATATATATATATATATATATATATATATATATATATATTTCCGTGTTGACGCTAACTTTTTTTATATTGAGTCAAGTAATATTATTATTATTTTCTTTTTTTTTGACTTTTTTTTTTTGAAACAATGTTATTGAGTTTTTTACCGTTAATTAATTGATTTGATGGGGTGTTACCAGCTCAATTCCAGTAATCCAAATATAGCTAGAGAAGAAGAAGAGCAAGAGAAGAAGAGGACATGCAGAATTATAATTAGAGAGAAGATGATATTTGCAGAAGAGAATTACTATTATCGTTTAAAAACGCATTCCACGCTATATGGAAGAATAACGTTTTTATAAGTAGCATCTCAAGACGAGACATGTGACATAGAGAGAAAAATTAAAGTTGTTATTTCAGATTTGTAATAGGAAGAAAACGTTTCTTGGATTCATATTTTTTTAGCACTTTCTAATTATAGTTTTAGTATGTATAGGGCACGCTTGAGGTAGAAGCAGGCAGCTGATTTTAGGTTAAGTTTTCTTCTGACTGTTTGTGACTTGTTTCTCGAAGCTTCTCAGTGTTTAAGCTTCCCGATTCAACCTTTTATTATCTGTAATTTCCATTATCATTATATATCTATTTCGGTTGGTTTCATGGGGGTGGGGTGATGGAATAAAATGTAGTATATGTTAGAAGATGTAAGAGTATGCTCTGAAAATTGGAAAATATGAATAGTGCAATGGAGTTTTCGTTTTCGTTATGTGTGTGAATATGAAGTATCCGATTATTGTCCAAAACTACCCTGACAATAACACCGTAAACTGTCCAAAAATATTGTTTTAAGGGCATTGCATATTATTAGCAATCAAATAAGTGTGTGCTTAATTATTTTTATAAATACTTTGTCAAAGTCATGAGTAAATACACATCATTCGATGTAGTCTTCACCGCGTGCAGAATAGAAATAACCACCTTTAGATTATTCAACCCCTAAACAAGGGGAGAATTTTATTCTACCAACATCTAAAACATCCATGCTATAATAATGACCTATTTAAAATACATGAAAAAAAGAAAAAAAGAAATCTCGATTTACGTTTAGTCCGATGCACATGGATTCGTAATTAAGAAATTAAACGTTAACTCTCGAGTGATAAGACTGTCCCGGAACCCAATTACCAGGGATCACTTTATACGCAAGTGCTGTTTTCTTCGACTCGATTGTGGTAAGCCTCACGGAGTAAGGACCGCTTATCCCAACGGGTAATCCAACGGCCCAAGTTTCACCCCATGATTGTTTCATGGATAACCATCCTTTAGAATTGTCCGACAATATCTCGAGGGAACCAATATCGCCGTCTCCATTCACGTATTCTACTGCAAATGCTAGGTAGTTAGGGTTCGATCCAGAGTCGATCTTGAATGTTATATTGGTCCCATTGTAGTTGCATAACACCCTGCGGAAAAAAATAAATAAATAAACATATATTATAAGGAAAATAATTTTTTCTTTAAATAGAATCGAGAATTACGATAGATAGATTTATTTTCTTGCCTTTGGTATTGGATATTGATTCTGCCCCATTTCCTTAACGGGTCAGCTTGACCCGGTTTGGCTAAAGCTCCGAAAGCTTTCCCGCTCAAATCGAAGTGGAATGCTTCATTGTTGCACGTACCGGGGCATTCGTTTGTGACCGTTACAGTAACTGGATTTCCCGAGCACAGCGGATTTTCTGTACATTTCACCTGAAAAAAAAAACAAATTATTAAAAAATTTAATCTAAAATTCTAAATCTATTTTTAATAAAATTTAACCAATTTATAGTGAAAATTGTTTAATTAACATCAATTATATACATAAAAAAAATTAAATTAACATATTACATACCTGATAACAAGTACCACAACCCTTTCCAGATTGGAATATATTTTGATTCCCTGCAGCCGTCATGCCATTGTATGGGGGATACGCCACGTCATTTTCAAATCCACAAGCTCCCCCTGCAATAAACATGCTCAATATTGTAAGTATATTACATATATTTTACTTATTAAATCTTAGAATGTAATATAATTAATTGTTCATTTATTATTTCATTTTAGCAAAACTAGAAAATATTAAGGTGGTGTGTGGTAGAAGACATCATTAAAAAACAATCACCCTTCAGCAATTAATTTATAAGTAACTAGTGTATTCTAAAAAGGGAAAACTACATTTTTCATCACTTTATTTTGCAGTGATTTTACATTTAGTCCCACATATTCACAAAAAAACGCATTTGGTCCCTTATGTTTTAAAAATTCAACATTTTTAGTATTCTTTCAGTCAATTTTCCGTTAAAATTAACGGAATTGAACGTGTGTTCATCACTGTCTTAATTGACGGACTAACGGTAAATATACAGGAATGACCAAAAATGATAAATTATTGAAACACGAAGGACGAAATGTGTTGTTTAGTAAACATGAGGATCAAATGTAAAATTTGTAGAAACTTAAAAGACGGAAATTGTAATCCCAGAATAAATTATAAACGAAAAAAAAAAAACAAGAATTCATAATTAGTTCACAAAAACTTTTGCAAGCACCAAATAGTTATTACCGCTTCCGGCTCCGGTGGGGCTATCGTACCACGTCGCCACCGCAGGTGAAAAACCACCCGCAAAAGTAGAATTAATTACAGTTTGAGAATCGATACAAGTACAGTAATTAGTTTGGAGCAACAAAATAGCTACGGAAATAAAAATAGTGAGAGATCGAAAAAAGTTATAGGTAAACATTGTGACTTTGAAAAAAATAGTATGGTGCCTTTGGTTCATGCCTTGGCTACACTTATATAGTGTTAATTTTTTTTAAATTCTTACAATACGAAATTCAAATTTTATATGGAAATTACATGAGATTCTAATTACAGATCTTACATGTAATTAAAATTGAGAAATATTGTGAATTTCAAGATAGAATTAGAAGTAATTATCACAACTTTCTAAATCTTCGATACTACTTGCTATTTATTTGAGAAATAGAAGTAATCCGAAAACAATAGCTTATATTAAGCTTACTATATAAAGAATTAAGTTGCCATACATAATTTATTTGGGTAAATTTTGTATAGGCCCATCATTCTCAATTTCCTTGCGGATAGGTACAGAGAAAAATTATCTTTTGCCCAAATGTCAAGATAAAAATATATTTAACCTAATATTCCATTAATAACAAATATACCCTCAAATTCTAATTTGACTCTAATTTCAGTCCTCAAATTCTAATATAATTTAAATTTCACCAGTTGACTTTTTTTTTATCGTTGACTAAGGCTTACATTTGTTTCACCAATGTTGCCGTAACGACCAGTCGACGCAACAAGAACACATTTTTTTCAGCAATATTACTAGTTTAACTGATCAACACAATTATATTAATATATTTTTAATATACTTTTTTTCCAATAAAAATAAAAATAAAAATTTACTATCGGCTATTTCATTTGGTTCACAACATATATAATAGCAATATTCAACATTAATTAATAGTTGTGATCAACAGTATAATAACATAAAAATTCTCTTTTTTTAAATTGTTATATTGACCGGTCAACACATTAACATTGTCGGTCAGCACACACCGATTTGTATCTTTTTTATTTTAACTGTTATTTTGTTATTGAACGGTCAACGCAATAACATTTTCAATTAAAAAAAGGGTAAAATTCACTTTGCACCCCTGAATTATGGGTTGCGTCGAATATATACCCCTCAATTCGAAACGTACCTAACACCTCCCTATATTTTATGATCAAACTTACAAAAATATAAAGACATAAATTTTGTAATATTTTCTTGTGCAATTACAACCTTACCCCCAACTTTAATCTATGGGAAATATATGTGAACTTTAGTACTTCAAAATGTTTTAGCCAAAATAAAAATATACAGTACTTGGATGGCTATGTAGGCAATTGTTTAGCATATTTTAATATTTTATTAACTTGAGCATATTTTTGTAGGTTATAATCGCAAATCATTCTTTTGTAATTAAAATCCGTTACCGAGGCATGTTTACGGAGTTTGAATATGTTGGGAGTTTGACTTACATTGCGTGAGAAGTTTACCCTGATTTAATGTTCTATTTTGAGATACATGGTTTAATTAAAGGATTAGCTATCCAATTGCTAATGTGGCTTGATTAGGATTGTTATATGAAATTGAGCTCGTGATAACAAATAGAGCTGGACATTATATATAGTAAAGTTATGGAAAAAAAAAGGAGAAAAAATGAACTAATTTCAAACGAAAAATTGAGGAAAAAATGTGAAAAAACAAGGCACGTATAACCTTAGAACGCTTATACAATAGGGGTAAAAAAGTCTTAAAAAAAGGCAACAAGAAAGTCAAATAACTTAGGAGCTAAATGTCAATAGAGTTATTAAATAATGTGCATACGTATTGTTTGCATACTATATAGGGTAAAGTTCATTTTGTACCATTTTACTGATGTCGTATATATCTCGTCCCAAACTTCACAATGTACCAGACGCCAGTGAAACGAGAGAGCGTAGTGTCGCATATTAACGCTTTTTAGACCGAGCTCGTCATACGCTGTTAGTCACTGTGGTTTAAATCTTCGTTGTGAGACCTATAGCACGAGGCATACTATATGCATATATCGAGTGGCTACTGGTTCTCTTGTAAAAGGAAATGGATGCAAAGAGTTCAATTCCACTGCCATTAAGATAAAACAACGCCCGGTTAATAAACACGCAATTAAACAACATAAGTTTTAAATCATTATTCACAAGTATATAACTTGTGGATGTACCTCTATCGACGGAAACATTATTAAAAGAATATTCAATGAATATAAAGAGAGAAGTAAAGATCTCTCTTATGAATAAATCAAAAGTCGATTTATTCGTACAAGACTTTTTATAATCGATGACAGTTTATACTTAACAAAACATTAGGAGTACATACTAGTATTCAATGATATTGAATACAAACATACTCAATTTTGTAGAGAGCAAAAAATAAACAAAACAAAGTATTGTAGAAAGTGTTCCAACATCCAAAACTCCATGCTCCTTCACTCTTTTAAAAAATTGGTAGTAAATGGACTAAAGACCTCTCCTATTAAAGAATCTGAGATCTCATTGTCCTGCACGTGAATGAATATACTAGAAAAGATAATGAGTTACTGAGTTTGTGAATTAATTAAAACATGTACAAGATCATTCACCACTAAATTATAAATGACCGTCCACTAACTAACAATAATAAAACCAACTAAAATAATAAATTATATTTTGACTTGATATCATGGGTTGTTTGTAATTAACCGGTCATATATCATGGGTTGTTTGTAATATTTTCTTATAATAATGTAAAATTTAACTATTTGATCTTAGTCCATGAACACCACTTAATTAGAGAGTTTAGACATAAAATATTCATTTTAGACTGAAAATAACTTATTATCCTCCAACTCATTCCTCAAAATCACATTCACTCTAAAAATAATGGCATTTCTTCAACTATTCCGCATTTTCTACTAATCTCATGTCGTCGACCGCCTAATTTTAGCCATATCATTGTAAAAAAAGTTATATTCATCTACGATGTCTATATTCAGTTCAAATTCTCTAACTAAGTTGTATATTTTCAGTCTAAATTGTCTATTCAGTCTATACTCTCCAGCTAAGTTCTCTATTTTCAGTCAATGTTATCAGAACCGGACCGGCCACAAAACCATATAGGCATTCGGGTCACGGTTGGACCGGTTCAACCGGGTTCGACCCGGGTTTTTTATTTTTTAATTATTTTATCAATTTTAATATTTTAAATATATATTTTCTATATATTTTTTTTTTATTTTACACTCTCTTCTATTTATTATTAATTTTTAAATATATAAACTATTCCCTTTATTATTTCTCACACCCAATTTTTGATTATATATTTTTGGGTAAATTACAAACACCCCCCTGAGGTATGCTAAAATTACAAAAACACCCCTCTTGTTTGGATAATTACAACCACCCCCTCAACTCTTCAAATTTAGTGGAATCTTCGAGATTATATGGAATATTATCACTTGTGTACCCGTTTTATCCTATTCAAACTCTACATTATGAAGCAAGATGATCATAATATGTGATTTTTAGCTTGTATATATCAGTTTGTGGTGCATCGAAAACTGTATTTTTTACACAAAACGAGTACAAACTAGAGCACATTTCACGGAATCTAGATGAATATGTTGAATTTGGCACCATAAAGGTGGAGGTCTAAGAAAAAATCATAGTTGAGGGGTAGATGTAATTATCTAAACAAGAGGGAGTTTTTTGTAATTTGACCATACCTCAGGGGTGTTTGTAATTTACCCTATATTTTTTTACTTTTCTCTCTCCTCTCTCCATCTTCTCTCCTCTTATCACCTACCTCTCTCCCGTCTCTCTCCCCATTTTTTTCCAGTTTTTTTTTCTTTTTTTTTTTCTCCATTTTCTTCTTCTCTTTTATCACTCTTATCACTCCATATCCAACAACACAATCTATTCCACCCACGACCCAAACTCGTCGAATTCCACCACCCACCGCCAGATTTCCGGCCACCCACGGCCTACTCCACCCAGATCCGGCCACCTCCGGCGAATTTCATGCAGATCCGGCCACTAACAATCATCGGCGAAGTGTTTTAGATAAGAACCCGGGTCACTGACCGGTTTCCGGGTTCGCCGGGTTTTGCCGGTTGGACCGGGTTTTTGACATTTGACCCGGGTTCTTGAATATCCCGGTTTTCAGCATCAGACCGGACCGCTTTCGTGGCGGGTCGCGGTCGGACCGGTCCGACCGGCCGGTCCGGTCCGGTTCTTCTAACATTGTAATTTCAGTCCATTTTCGTTGTAAGCTTTCTAACTAATATTAGGTTTTAGTTTTAGGGAGTTATAAATGTAATATTGCGAGAAAATGGGTCTTTTCTATTTAATACATATTTTTATGTGTCTTTTTTTTATTCATAATGTTATATTCTTAAAAAAAAAAAAAAAACCTTATTTTATAATTTAGAGTTAATTTAGACATATTACAGTAATTGTTTTTTAGGATTTTTGATTAGTTTGAGGGGAACAAATGTACGTAACAACAGGTATTTTTCGTAATTTAACCTTATAATCTCACGAGTTGTTTCTAATTCACCTATAAAAACAAAGAACTATATATAAACTTCAGAATTATATGAATAGTATTTCAAAAACATAAAAGGGCAGATTAAATATATATCGAATTTAGGATTTTACATATAGTAAGTCTCTTTGCATAATATGAATAAGAGTGTGGATAATCATTTTTTTGCCCTTGTTAGTCAAACAAAAAGTTATATAAGGAAAGGAAGTAATATAATATTTCTAGCCGATCAATTATATATTATAATGTATTAGATTTATATTATTTATATAGTAACCAAAATATACAAAAAAATAATTATATTATTATCTTTTGAAAACACTTATTTTTTAAATGGAAAGCATTAAGGAGAGATAATAAGTTTTTTTTAATCTAAGACTTGATAGTAAAAATATTTCTCTATAGTTTGCAAGAAAAATGAAATCTTTTTCGATAAATTATTTCATGTTTTGAATAATCAAAATATTTCTTTTTTTTTTTTTTTGGTAATGCAGGAACCCGCAGCCAACCATATAGGTGCACTGGGTAAACCTACACTCTCGTATAATAGCTTGCAAACCATACGAGAGATGTAAACCACACTAGGCTAACCATGTGTGCCAACCATATAGGTGCACTGGGTAAACCTACACTCTCGTATAATAGCTTGCAAACCATACGAGAGATGTAAACCACACTAGGCTAACCATGTGTGACAAGCTCGACCTAGCGACCGTTGACAAGGGGATTCGAACTTGAGTCAATTGACCCAAACTCTCATGCTCCAACCGCTAGGCCACCCTTGCGGGTCAATCAAAATATTTCTTATGTTAATGGTAAGAAGCTCATGTTGTAATAATTTGCATATATGGAAAGTATTAAAAGAATTAACAGTATATAAGTCTAACCAAAGGCACCAAGCTATTCATTATTTCACATTGTTTTTTTCTATATCTCATATAATAAATACCACCATGTTTACCTCTCACTTTTCTTCACCTCTCACATTTCTAACCGTAACAGCTATTTTATTGCTTCAAACGAATTATTCCGTTTGTACGAACCCTAATTCGTTTAATGCTTCTCTCGGTGGTGGTTTCTCGTCTGCAATAGCGACGTGGTACGGTAGCCCCGAAGGACCTGGAACTACCGGTAATGATAACGAAAATTAAACATAAAACGACGTATTATGTATTATGTATTATTATTATTATTACTATTACTATTGTTACTATTATTTTATTCTTATTTATTATTTTATATTAATACCAAATAAATGTAAAATAAAATTAGTTTTCGACAAATTTGAGCTGGTTGTCGGAAATGTCGTTTAATTTTTGACTGTTAATAGCTTGTAGAAAAAATAAACAATTAGCATAAAATCAAATGCACAAAAATAAATAAAATAATAGAACTAATAATTATATATATTTATATTACAATTTCAGGGGGAGCTTGTGGATTTGGAGTTGATGTGCAAAATCCACCATACAACAGTCTTGTATCTGCAGGAAGCAACGATATATACCTTAACGGAAAAGGCTGCGGTGCTTGTTATCAGGTATATTAATATTATTTATATTATATATTTATATTTATATTAGGTATTTAGAATTTTGTATTTTAAATTAATTAGTGTGACTAATTAGATATATATTTGACTACAAATTGTAATTTCATGTACTTATTTTTACAGGTAAAATGTACGGAAAATTCAGCGTGCTCAGGGTTTCCAGTTACCGTAACAATTACAGACCACTGTCCCAGTTGCCCTGGAGCTTTTCACTTCGATTTGAGCGGAAAAGCTTTCGGGTATTTAGCCAAACGTGGCCAAGCTGATCAATTACGAAATGCTGGAGGTATCAATATCCAATATCAAAGGTAGGAAAATATTTTGAGGAAATTGTAGTTTTGGTCCTCTATATTGTTCTATTTAGGATTTAGTCCTTTAAGTTATTATATTTCGATTTTACATGTAATAACTTTATTACAAAGATATAATTTTTGGTCCTACAATATATAACGGTATATATAACGATACGTGGTATTTGAATTTTGCAGGGTAGCATGCAACTACAAAACGGGCATATTGTTCAAGATCGATGCTGGTTCGACCGCTAATTACATGGCGTTTGCGATTGAGCTTGTGAGCGGAGACGGTGATATCGGTGCTCTCCAGTTGTTGCCATCGAATACCGGAGCGATTAACATGCAGCAATCATGGGGTGCCACGTGGAAAGCAGATTTGCCTAATGGCACAAAAGGACCTTTTACGGTGAAAGTGACTACTATTGAATCAAGAAGAACTATTACCGCCACCAATGTTATTCCCGCCAATTGGAGCCCCGGCCAATACTATCACTCTGGCGCCAATTAATTAATTGCGAAATAAATTCACAATTTAGTCCTTTTAATCATTGAATAATAATATGGCAAATCTTATTTTTTTCTTTCTAATAATTTCACATTCTATACGCAAGTAATTCATTTTTGTTACATATATAGTTATATTAAATTGATGTTGATTTTATTTTTCTTTTTTAAAAGTTGAACTTATAATATGGTCTTACAACGCACGCACACACCTAAAGAGATTCGAATCTCCGACATCTCATTAAACACCACTATGAGAGACACTCCCGGTGGCAGGTACCACTAGGCTAAAGCTTAGTTGGTAAAATTCCATTATGATACTTTCGGAAATTAAAAATTCAACCTGATTTTGGAAAATTGAATGTTTTTATAATTTTCGATTTTTCTTGAATTTACGTAAGTTTGTCCAAAAGTAGTGCTTTTAAGTTAAAAATCCGATATTGTAGGTTTCAAGTTCAACTTAATATTTGTTCGGTTAATATGTTTCTTAGCGTTGTTAAAGTCTCTATTAAATGTTAAAGTTTTATTTACTCAAAAAAATAAAGTATTAAAACTTTATAATCTTTATATGATAAAATCTTGAAGGAAAGTTCAAAACTGTATTAATCTAATGTTTTAAAATGTAACTCGATACCAAATTTAATGTTTGATTTATATTATGAACTAATTTAATGTATTAAAAACATTTATATGTAATGAAATAGATAGGTCGATTTATTTCTTTACTATATCAGACTGTAAGTTGATTAATATGTAGGTGTGTATATATTATTGAATAATGTTTACTATTTATGTAAAGTCATCGAGGCAGATTTTCCCAGATCCAAAAGCCCATTATAAACTCCTCTCTTCTCGGCCTAGGCCCAAGATCAGCCCATCAGCCCAATAAAATGGCACGCGCCCCAATACAGATAACGGGATAAGAGGGGAGTTTTCGGCTAAGAGAAAAGAACCAGAGAAAAACACACACTCACACCTCCTACACACACAAGCATAAATACAAATATACTCAAATACTTGAGGGGTCCAAAAGGCGCTCCATCAAATGGTGCCGTCTGTGGGAACGTTTGAGTTAGACGTGCGTTGGTTTGATTTCAGGATTTTTTGGTTTGATTTTGGGGTTTCCTCCAATAAGTAGAAGAGCGAGAAGCACGGTGCTCCTTCTCGGGCGTCGGCGCTAGGCAGCTCACCAGCCCCACCAATCGAGGCTCACGGACCTAGTGATGACTCCATTTCTCCTAGGCCCACATCACCCCACGATGGAGGTCAGGTGCTTCGACTCCATTTTCTGTCAACTTCAGCTGAGTGGGAAATGGTTAATAGTTAAAACTGTTTAATAATTATTAAAAAAAAAAAAAAAAAGAGAAAAAGATGATTGATTCAGCCAGAACGCAAGTTGTGCAGACGAAAATTGTATGTATCATATCTTTAACTTTCTTTCTTTCTCTATTGATGATTATGTGTGTGTGTTCTAGTGTGTGGGTAAAGTACAGATCCACAGCTTTTCTGTATAGGTAAATATATGTATATTTATTTGTTTATTAATGGTTGTTGACTTTTTTGTGGAAAGAGAAACCATAGGCTATCGTAATGACGGGGTCGGAATCGACCTCGCACGACATAAAGACCACGGCAGATATCGGCCGCGTTACCGAAAAGATGGGGTCGGAATCGACCCTGCACGAAAAAGAAGTGCGATCGATATCGGTCGCACTGGAGTAAGACGAGGCATCTCGCATCCGAAAGAGGAGTAAGACGAGGTATCTCGCATCCGAAAGAGTAGTAAGACGAGGTATCTCGCATCCGAAAGATGAGTAGGACGAGGTATCTCGCATTCGAAAGAGGAGTAAGACGAGGTATCTCGCATCCAAAGGAGGAGTGCGATCCGACAGTGGAGTGCGATCGGTATATATAGGTCGCACTCGGTTTAAGAACAGGGAATATTGAAGTCATAATGAAGAATGTACATCGTAAAATACATAGTGAAAAGGAAAACATGGCATTAGGAAAGAACTAAAGTAACCTGTAATTTGTTCATACAGCGAAGAACGACATTTCGTTCCAAAAAAAAAGAAGAGAAAAACCAAACTCGAGGTGACTAGTCGCCTCTTCACCTCGTCAAAACATCTCGAGAGAGTAGTTCACCACGACTAGTTGCTTTGCACTCCATAAACCCCTCTTTTCTCGGCCCAGGCCCAATATCAGCCCATCAGCCCAATAAAATGGCACGCGGCCCAATACAGATAAGGGGATAAGAGGGGAGTTTTCCGCTAAGAGAAAAGAAACCAGAAAAAAACACACGCTCACATCTCCTACACACGCAAGCATAAATATACATACAAATATATACAAATACTTGAGAGGTCCAAAAGGGGCTCCATCAAATAAGATGATCGGGGTAGATTTCCCCAGGCCCAAAAGCCCCACCATAAACCCCTCTCTTCTCGGCCTAGACCCAAGATCAGCCCATCAGCCCAATATAATGGCACGCACCCCAATACAGATAAGGGGATAAGAGGGGAGTTTTCGGCTAAGAGAAAAGAAACCAGAGAAAAACACACACTCACACCTCCTACACACACAAGCATAAATATACATACAAGTATACACAAAAACTTGAGGGGTCCAAAAGGGGATCCATCATAAAGTAATTCCTTCAGCGAGAAAAAAGTTTTTGAAAATTCAAGTTAATATAAATAATTTCATCCAAATATATATATATCATTATTTAAAAATATTAAACATGTCATTCATTTACAAAATTGAAAGAAAAAACATGTTAGGAACTATAAAATGTAATATTAATTTATAAAATAAATTTAGAGCATAAAAACAATATAGCATATATAGGAACCTTAATTATACATTTCCATGTAGACATCCGATAGAAAAACTCCTAGATCCGTCCCGCCACCGCCACTAGTACTCCATCTATTCAGAACCACAACACGATAAGGATAACAAGCATCCCACCAACGCCATCAAGGCCAAGCACCCCACCCGCGATATCAAGGCCATCCCACCCCTCCTACCCATCATCGTCGGATTGCTAGCACCATTCCCCAACCCGAGTGCCACCGCTTGGCCATCACCACCCTCCTAGCCGCCAACCAAATTAACCTTATTTGTTATAGCCGCCGCCTTCCGGCATTGGTCTGACATCAAAACCACTTTCTCCGTCTTTTGGATTGAAAAAAATGGGCTAAACGTTTAAAAGCCCATCTCGGGCGCCCGACGATGCAGTGCACACCCATGTTCGGCGTGCAGTTGGCTCTTGTACGCCCATTACGGGCGTTGGTAGGCCAACTGCACGTCCAACATGGGCGTGCACTGCACCGTTGGGCGCCCGCGTTGGGCTTTCGGCTTTTAAACGTTTTTTTTTTTTTTTTGTAATCAATTTTTTTACGCTTTTTTCAGGACGATACGTCTACAATTGAAGTTGATCATACCAACTATTTTACAACAACTCAGTAGTTTGACTCGAAGGACGAGGTAGTGGTTTGGGCGAGGTTCGTTGCAAAAGGTCTTTTTGTGAAAATAGTAAAAAAAAAGTTGTCCTAAGAAAAAGATTTTTCTGACTTGTGACCTATACGGGGAGAAACGAGAATGTCCATCAACAAACCGACGCGCGCCCGAGAAGGACCGGTAACAAAAAATAAACTGTGGTTTTCAAATTGTCGGAGAGCTACGGTGGGATGATAGATGGGAGGTCAGAGTAGTATACGGGAACCATAATCATTTTCCGATATACATGTCCGGGCATGGGATGAGTGCATTATTCAAGAGGAGGCGAAGATTATTAGTGATCTGTCACAAAGTCATGTGCCGCCCAAGAAGATTTTGGCTAACTTGAGACAAAATCATTTTGGTCTCGATGCTTATTCGAAACAAGTATAAAATGAGAAGGCGAAATTGAAAAGACTATCTAGGGGCGACCGTACAGTGATGCAACATTTGATTGGGTTGCTTGAGGAGTATAACTATTACAAGTGGTTCCGTACTGATGAAACAACACATGCAGTTATTGATTTGATGTGGGCTCACCCTCAATCTGTCGAATTGTTAAGTAAGTTTCCGTACATTATACTAGTTGACAGTCTTTACAAAACCAATCAGTACAAATTGCCTTTGTTGGAGATTGTTGGTGTTACTTCTGTCGGGAAATTTTTTACTGTTGCAGTCGCATTTTTGCACCATGAAAATGAAGACATTACACATGGGTGTTGCAAAAGCTGAAGAGACTTTTCCCCCCTCAGACTCTACCTAGTGCCATCGTGACTGATCGAGAGTTAGGGCTCATAAAGGCGCTAGAGAATGTATTTCCGACCGTACCTCATCTCTTATGTCTTTGGCACATTAACATGAATGTGGGGCGTCGTGCTTCAAGATGTCTCGACAATAGTAGGCGTCGTGGCACGGTCTTTGTACTTGGTACGTGGCAAACTTTGGTAAAATCAGTGTGTGAAGAAGATTTCGCCAGGAATTACACAGCTTTGGTGGACGAGTACGCGAACTATCCAGAGTTGATTGAGTATCTCCAAGGCACTTGGCTCGTATACAAAGAGAAATTTGTAAAAGCATGGACGGATCTAATTTTTCATTTGGGTAATACATCGACAAGCAAGTATTTATTTATAAGTGGTGAAATATATATACTTAACTTACTGTCATGTTGTTTATTGAAACGTAGCATATTCCAAACATATTAGGGTGGAGAGCAACCATAGAGCATTGAAGAGATGGTTGGATGCGTCCACGGGTGGTTTTGACACATTTTGGGCACAGTATCACTCACAGATGAAAGATCAATTTAACGAGACACTAGCCGAATTTGCAAAGTCAAAGAGGATTCGGGCCCAGGCGATCAACGTGCCCGTATTTAAAATATTGTCCAGTGGAATTGTAACACATAACGCTCTGAAGATGTTGGACGATGAGAAGGATGAAGACATAGACGGTTGCGTCTGTTAAATGAGGAAATGTCTTGGCCTCCCGTGCAGACAT